CTGAAGGCATAGAGTCACGTGAAGAGAGAGTGGGAATAGTCACATTATCAAACTTTGTTTTTTCTTTGCATTTATAATTATACATAGCTTAACACATTGTTAATACTGTTATGTTTTGTGTTTCTCTTTGCTTTTCAAGTCTTGTGCTATCACTCTCTTAGGAACCAGAAGCTGAAATGGAGGAAGTCAACAGCTCCAGCGAACATGTTATTATCAGTGTTTGACAAGAAATGAAAATAAGAGTGTGCATGGTGTGATTATAGAACAGAGGCCATAAGTCTCGGAGTTTGTAAACCTAAGTGTTTAATTTTTTGTTCATGTTTTATTATCATTGTTTGTCCATTCATAAGTAATTCCCAAGTTTATATAATTGTGAACAGTATGGAGTTAAATGTTCAAAGGGGGGACTGATGGGTTCTGACTTCTAAACTTGAAATATTGTTAATCATCAGTTATCCTATAGACATGAGGAGTGACAGTCTGGTTTATACACCAGAAGTTAATGGTTATCTGTAGGAGGAATGTATATGGTGGAGGAAATTAAGCTTGGAATGTACTGCGTAAAGGAAAGGTTGCAGTCACTGATAAGGGTGGAGAGCTGTGGATTAGTGAGGAATGGGGTCGAGGTCAGGTCAGGTCACATTAAGGGAGAAGGAACAGTTTATTGCCTGCATCACTTAACGTCCTGCCTAGCAATGAAGATGTAATGTTTAGAGGGAAGGAGGAGGTCACCTACATTGGAGTATATACAGTGAGGGAAAAAAGTATTTGATCCCCTGCTGATTTTGTACGTTTGCCCACTGACAAAGAAATGATCAATCTATCATTTTAATGGTAGGTTTATTTGAACAGTGAGAGACAGAATAACAACAACAAAATCCAGAAAAACGCATGTCAAAATGTTATAAATTGATTTGCATTTTAATGAGGGAAATAAGTATTTGACCCCCTCTCAATTAGAAAGATTTCTGGCTCCCAGGTGTCTTTTATACAGGTAACGAGCTGAGATTAGGAGCACACTTTTAAAGGGAGTGCTCCTAATCTCAGCTTGTTACCTGTATAAAAGACACTTGTCCACAGAAGCAATCAATCAATCAGATTCCAAACTCTCCACCATGGCCAAGACCAAAGAGCTCTCCAAGGATGTCAGGGACAAGGTTGTAGACCTACACAAGGCTGGAATGGGCTACAAGACCATTGCCAAGCAGCTTGGTGAGAAGGTGACAACAGTTGGTGCGATTATTCGCAAATGGAAGAAACACAAAAGAACTGTCAATCTCCCTCGGCCTGGGGCTCCATGCAAGATCTCACCTCATGGAGTTGCAATGACATGAGAACGGTGAGGAATCAGCCCAGAACTACACGGGAGGATCTTGTCAATGATCTCAAGGCAGCTGGGACCATAGTCACCAAGAAAACAATTGGTAACACAATACGCTGTGAAGGACTGAAATCCTGCAGTGCCCGCAAGGTCCCCCTGCTCAAGAAAGCACATATACAGGGCCGTCTGAAGTTTGACAATGAGCATCTGAACGATTCAGAGGAGAACTGGGTGAAAGTGTTGTGGTCAGATGAGACAAAAATCGAGCTCTTTGGCATCAACTCAACTCGCCGTGTTTGGAGGAGGAGGAATGCTGCCTATGACCCCAAGAACACCATCCCCACCGTCAAACATGGAGGTGGAAACATTATGCTTTGGGGGTGTTTTTCTGCTAAGGGGACAGGACAACTTCACCGCATCAAAGGGACGATGGACGGGGCCATGTACCGTCAAATCTTGGGTGAGAACCTCCTTCCCTCAGCCAGGGCATTGAAAATGGGTCGTGGATGGGTATTCCAGCATGACAATGACCCAAAACACACGGCCAAGGCAACAAAGGAGTGGCTCAAGAAGAAGCACATTAAGGTCCTGGAGTGGCCTAGCCAGTCTCCAGACCTTAATCCCATAGAACATCTGTGGAGGGAGCTGAAGGTTCGAGTTGCCAAACGTCAGGCTCGAAACCTTAATAACTTGGAGAAGATCTGCAAAGAGGAGTGGGACAAATTCCCTCCTGAGATGTGTGCACACCTGGTGGCCAACTACAAGAAACGTCTGACCTCTGTGATTGCCAACAAGGGTTTTGCCACCAAGTACTAAGTCATGTTTTGCAGAGGGGTCAAATACTTATTTCCCTCATTAAAATGCAAATCAATTTATAACATTTTTGACATGCGTTTTTCTGGATTTTTTTGTTGTTATTCTGTCTCTCACTGTTCAAATAAACCTACCATTAAAATGATAGACTGATCATGTCTTTGTCAGTGGGCAAACGTACAAAATCAGCAGGGGATCAAATACTTTTTTCCCTCACTGTATATCTGTGCTGGTTGGAACATGTCTTATGCAGCAATGTGACCCAGTGGGTGAATACACTTGGTTTGAGCTTTACTAGTCGTCCATCGGTTTTGACCTTGTTATTTAGAACCTAACAATAGCAAATGGTCTGAATACTTATGTAAATAAGGTATTTCTGTTTTTGTTTTTTTATACATTTGCAAAAATTTATAAAAACCTTTTTTCACTTTGTCATTATGGGGTATTGTGTGTAGATTGTTGAGGATTTTTATTTATTTAATCCATTTTAGAATAAAGCTGTAATGTAACAAAATGTGGAAAAAGTCAAGGGGTCTGAATACTTTCCGAAGGCACTGTATGATCAATAGTAGTCTGTGTGACTAGGGGTAGACAACAACCCTCAGTAACATAAGAGAAACAGGCATTTCTAACTTGTAAAATAGTTTAACTTGTAAAAGCAAGCTCACCAGATCAATTGTATTTGCTCTCATTGATGAGACGTGTATTGACTGACTGCTGTATGCCTGGGACCTGCAGAGATGTTCAGAATATTTAACTATTGATCAAAGCCTCTCATATTATATTTCCTTCACATTGATGTTAGCTTAAATCGGCTGTTAGTATTGAACATCATGATCTGACAACATTCCCTAAAGGTTAGCGAGAGTGATGCAGTATAAAAATGCTGCTCCGCGATATTTGTTCCAATAGAGGGGAAATTATGCAAATCCATTCTGCAGGGATCAATAGAAAGAGAGGGAGAGAAGAGAAGAGAAAGATACTAATATTGACAAAACACTTTGGTTACATGATGGATGTGTTACGCAATGACTGCCAGGCCTGCATCAGAGAGGTTGCGCCAAAGGGCTTCTGTGTGATATTCTGATTGTGTTGGAGAGAAGAATCTTCATGATCAGGACATTGCCACTCATGTGCGCTAAGGCTATGTAATAACAGAACTCCCCAGTCCTGACTTATTGTTAAGTCAATGTGAGTTCACTCAGAAATCCTTGGACTATTTGTAACAGAACATTGTCTTCTCTGACTCCATGAACTATGCAAACTGTGACTCAACAAAGTTATTTCTGGACGATACTGAGCAGGAGACTGACTGCAATTTTCATCAGGTTGATGAAGGTCTGTGAAAATGAACTAAATCACCCCTTCAGTGGATTTAAGAACATTTGTCTATACCAAACTGATTCCTAGATTGGGCTTTGGAGCTTGTGGCTCACTCTGAACCACAGTCATGTGGGCTTGGCATCTACTGTCAGAACAGACATGTCTGAAACTGAACATATGGAGTGAAATTCTGATTTGGAATACCAACATTTGTTGATGCTATTGGATATTTGTGTGTGTAATGATGTTGAAATCAATACATGATTAACTGTCCTATACTGTACATATGAATGGTTAACCACTAAAAACTAAAGGACAAAGGCAAAGCTTTTGAACTCATCTCGTTTTCTTTTCCCCTCTCTCTCTCACCCACAGTTACACTTGTGCGAGTCGCAGGAGAGTTTTAATTTGCGGTCCATTCCTCTTTATAGCGGTACTTGTGAACTGGGAAGATGTGCCAGCGCTGAGCTCTCGTGGTCCTCTAAAATCCTCCTTGTTTCTTAATCACCAGCAACTAAAATGTAATTAGTCATTAAAATTCTTCCAGCGGATCCCCCTGCCTCAGGGGAGCCATTTCTGGGCTGGGTCTGCATGTGCTGCTGGGCCAGACACTGTGTGTATGTGAGAGAAGGAGAGAAGAAGAGAATAGAGGAGAGGAGAGAGAGGGAGAGACAGAGAGAGAGTGCGTGTACACGCATCTGAGGAGGCAGAAGCTTTGTCTGTCTCTCTGTGGAGTGGTTCTGGCACTGTGAGACATGTAAGGTTATGATCCTGCCTACTGTTCCCTTCAAGAGTGTGGTTGGGAAACAATGGAGAAGCAGAAGAGACTATTGGCAGATCAGCAGGCTGAGCACTGGGCTTGTGAAGAACCTGCTTGGGAAACTGTTCTGCTTTTTAAGACTGAAACTGTGCAACCATGGAAATACCATGAATTATTGAGACGCAGAATGTGTCAGACATTCTATTCCATGACCATTTAGGCTATGCCGAGGTTGATGTATTTATGATGGTGGTTTGAAACTAGGTTAAAAAAAACGGGAATCTAATTAGCATTATAATTAGAACGCTTTTATTAATCAAAATCCCTGAGTTTGCATGGGCTGCGTCTCAATCCACTGCATCCGCCGGTGTCGGCCATTATGCCCTGCGGTGGAAGGCACCTGAACTATAACAGTGTTTATGAGACCAGGAGACATCCCGGAAATGGCGCTAGAAACGATTTGGACCCAGTTCTGAAAGCTGATACTCTCCCGAACACGAACGTGTCATCCGTTTTGCTCTACGAAGGCTAATTGCATTAAGGCCGAATTCAATGTTCCATCAAATATTTTCTTTACATGTATTTTTTATACATACAGGGGTACTAAAATTCCAAATCAAATAGCTAAAAGGTCCATCTTATGACAATCTTAAAATAATGACATATGTTAGCTAAGTAGATATCACCATCTAGACGCTTAGACTCTAGGGGGTAAGGGGAATATCAAGCTGGCTAGCTAGTACTATAGTCATATGAACATATGTGTTTTTCACGGCCTTGACTTTGCGTGTTGTTGTTTGTGGGCTGTGTGGAACAGGTCTTGTGGAAGCATACAGTAGTTGCAAATAAACCGGCATGCTCTAAACTTGATCCTGCTCTGCTCTGCCCCAGTACCAGGGCTGATTTATTCTGCTTAGGCAAATGAGTGTGGCTTACAATGTGCTGTACTCGTTCTGCTTCATCAATACACATTACACATAACATTGGAGCCTGCCGCAGGCAGACGAAACCTCTGAAATGGATCTAAGAGCTGTGCAATGGAAGTCATGCTGCATGATTCTGCATCATGACAATGGTTTCATCTCTTTGTGTGCCTGTGCTCGGGTTGTGAGTAGGGTGTATTAACTCTGATGAACATACGTTTGTGTTTTTATGTATGTGTTTGCGCACATTTGTGTGTGTTTAGACCAATGCATGTGTGCTGTGCTGGCTAGGGAGTTTGTTTCTGTGGGTGTGTGTGTGCATGTGCGTGTTAGTTTGTGTGTGTGTATAAACGAAAAGGCGACCCATGGATACCTGTGACCTGGTCCACCAGGATGCGGGAGGTGATGATGCGTCCATACTGGGAGAAGAGCTGCTCCAGGTCCTTCTGGGTCATGGTCTTGGGCAGACCACTCACATACAGGTTAGCGTCTCGAATGGAGGCTGAGCTGGGTCGTGCATATGACACCTGAGGAGAAGGGGAGAATGGGGTAGAGATGGGTATTAGATATACAGTGAGGGAAAAAAGTATTTGATCACCTGCTGATTTTGTACGTTTGCCCACTGACAAAGACATGATCAGTCTATAATTTTAATGGTAGGTTTATTTGAACAGTGAGAGACAGAATAACAACAAAAAAATCCATAAAAACGCATGTCAAAAATGTTATGAATTGATTTGCATTTTAATGAGGGAAATAAGTATTTGACCCCTCTGCAAAACATGACTTAGTACTTGGTGGCAAAACCCTTGTTGGCAATCACAGAGGTCAGACGTTTCTTGTAGTTGGCCACCAGGTTTGCACACATCTCAGGAGGGATTTTGTCCCACTCCTCTTTGCAGATCTTCTCCAAGTCATTAAGGTTTCGAGCCTGACGTTTGGCAACTCGAACCTTCAGCTCCCTCCACAGATGTTCTATGGGATTAAGGTCTGGAGACTGGCTAGGCCACTCCAGGACCTTAATGTGCATATTCTTGAGCCACTCCTTTGTTGCCTTGGCCGTGTGTTTTGGGTCATTGTCATGCTGGAATACCCATCCACAACCTATTTTCAATGCCCTGGCTGAGGGAAGGAGGTTCTCACCCAAGATTTGACGGTACATGGCCCCGTCCATCGTCCCTTTGATGCAGTGAAGTTGTCCTGTCCCCTTAGCAGAAAAACACCCCCAAAGCATAATGTTTCCACCTCCATGTTTGACGGTGGGGATGGTGTTCTTGGGGTCATAGGCAGCATTCCTCCTCCTCCAAACACGGCGAGTTGAGTTGATGCCAAAGAGCACTATTTTGGTCTCATCTGACCACAACACTTTCACCCAGTTCTCCTCTGAATCATTCAGATGTTCATTGGCAAACTTCAGACGGCCCTGTATATGTGCTTTCTTGAGCAGGGGGACCTTGTGGGCGCTGCAGGATTTCAGTCCTTCACGGCGTAGTGTGTTACCAATTGTTTTCTTGGTGACTATGGTCCCAGCTGCCTTGAGATCATTGACAAGATCCTCCCGTGTAGTTCTGGGCTGATTCCTCACCGTTCTCATGATCATTGCAACTCCACAAGGTGAGATCTTGCATGGAGCCCCAGGCCGAGGGAGATTGACAGTTATTTTGTGTCTCTGCCATTTGCGAATAATCGCACCAACTGTTGTCACCTTCTCACCAAGCTGCTTGGCAATGGTCTTGTAGCCCATTCCAGCCTTGTGTAGGTCTACAACCTTGTCCCTGACATCCTTGGAGAGCTCTTTGGTCTTGGCCATGGTGGAGAGTTTGGAATCTGATTGATTGATTGCTTCTGTGGACAGGTGTCTTTTATACAGGTAACAAGCTGAGATTAGGAGCACTCCCTTTAAGAGTGTGCTCCTAATCTCAGCTCGTTACCTGTATAAAAGACACCTGGGAGCCAGAAATCTTTCTGATTGAGAGGGGGTCGAATACTTATTTCCCTCATTAAAATGCAAATCAATTTATAACATTTTTGACATGCGTTTTTCTGGATTTTTCTGTTGTTATTCTGTCTTTCACTGTTCAAATAAACCTACCATTAAAATTATAGACTGATCATTTCTTTGTCAGTGGGCAAACATACAAAATCAGCAGGGGATCAAATACTTTTTTCCCTCACTGTAAGAGATGATGGACGTGACTGTAGCATAGCTTTTGTCTTACATCTATGAGAACATTTTGAGCCTACATCATTGGATTGTATTTTGTCCATGGCATTGGCAGAGATGTCTGTGTAACTTGTTTTTAATGACTTGAATCACAGGGCTTCACCTGACTGAGCTCGTTTTAATTAGCACATTAGTTTTCATCTAAAATCCATTTACACATTAGCCTTGCAGACCCCACGCAGAAGAGGTGTGAGGAAAGGTAGGTAGGCGCCAATTTATCTTCCGTTTCATTTGTTGTATTACATTTTATTTGTGTACTGTAGCGAAAGGCTCACACATGAACCCTCATCCCCATCAACCCTCATCCCCATCATTAATATGGAAGTATTGGACAAAAATATATCTGTCGCTATCTTGTTAATGCTGACAAAAAAACAAATGCACTCACGCATACATTAGATGTGTGTGTGTGTGAGAGAGAGAGAACGGGAGAGAAAGTGTGTTTACAGCCTGTGCATGAGGGTGTGAGAGAGAGAGAGATGAGAGCGCGAGAAAGAGAGAGAGAAAGAGGGTGAGACAAAAAGAGGTGGTTTGGCAATCCTAATTTGGTAAGGGGGGGTTGTATGGGGATGGCTTGTGCTGACTCTAACTGTGCGAGCTGAGCGAGGTGGGTGCCTTCTCTCACAGATCCCTCCACAGCTTTGCAACACCCATTTAGAAGCTATCATTTCGTTAACTTTTATTTTCAAAGGCAATATAAGCTGTAGAATTACACTACATTGGAAGCTAGTATTTTAATGAGTTTAATGAGACCTTGATGTTTAAGTTGTGCCATCGTAGCTCTCTCCTGAAAAAGTCCCTGTGCTTTGTCAAACGCTGTTCTAATTTCTCGATTGCGATCTGGTTTTCCTCTTTCAAAATGTTAATCTGATTAACATTGCTGACTGGGGGAGCTTTTCTATCCAGGGTTTTCATTAGGTTTAACATTTAGAGGCATAAGCCATCAAACACTGTTAAACTTGTACAAATATGATGGATATGCAAAACATCTCAGTGTAATCACAGGATATCCAGTTTAACTCTGAAGGCAAAATAATCGGATCACTGGCAGTTAGCTTCCCCTTTGCCCTTCTTTCCTTTCAAACTGTCTTTCCTTCTATCCCCTTTGGTTCTAATCCATCCCTTTCTCTCCTTCGCTCCCTGTCAGCCAGCCCCAGATCCATCAACACCTTCACTAGCTGTAAGAAGTACTTCTGCATGTGAGAGTGAAGTGTGTGTTGGAGTTTGACGAGCGTGTGTGTGTGTGTTCTTTCCCAGCATGTAGCCCTGCTCTTCTCACCTCCAGCGGGCTCCTTCCTCTCACACCTCCACAGGGTAGCAGCACCAGAGGTGCGCTGAGAAACTCTGAGGTGTCATGGAGGTGGAAACCACGTTTTAAAAGACAGAAAAAGACCCCAGAAAGACACCACCTGCGTGTGTGAAACTCTGTGGTGAACTGTGCCGCCCCTCTTTGTTTTCCCCCTACAGTGAGGCAGCACTGTGAGGAAGTGTTATGAGGGTACCAGAAGGGAGAAGTGTGTAGGGACTAGGAAGTGATGTGTCTGTGAATATTATGTCCACAAACAAATGGATGGATATTCCCAAAGGCTTACTGTACACTACCATGAGAGCCTACATACTAACTACAGTATTGTACTACATCAAAAACACGTTTCATCAGTTGAAGCCTTGTGTGAAACTGGAAAGTCATATCAAGGACACTGAGTTCTTTAAGTGTCTTCTGTAAAGAGGGCTCAAAATGTTTCCTCTGCACATTGGCGTATCAACTGTCGTTCAGTGACACCACAAGCAGCTCTCTCTTCTCTCCCACCAGAGCCTCACACTGGGCTGCAAGACAGAGCTGTCTGCTGCTATTAGGGAGTCTGTCTTCATTTTCATGGCAGCTTAAGATAACCTCTGGTGCAGATAGAAAGGCCCGTAGCACTGAATGGATATTTCAAGAAGATAATGACCTTGAACACACTTTACTAGAAGTTGTAAAAGGGGCCTTTTTCTTCAGTGCTACTCAGAAAAGGCTTATTGATATGGGTAGCACAGTCAAAATAATGGGTTTCGCAGTGGCAAGAATACAAAGGGCTGGCCTTACTCTCTCATGCAGAGAGGGACTCTGCTGCTATAACTGAGAGCCAGGGTGAAGTCTAGATGCTGCTCCGTCTGACTGGATAAGATGGATAGAGACAGACAGAGGGAGCTGTACAATGTGGAACGCTGTGTGTTTGAGAGAGAGAGAGAGAGAGAGAGAGAGAGAGAGAGAGAGAGAGAGAGAGAGAGAGAGAGAGAGAGAGAGAGAGAGAGAGAGAGAGAGAGGGAAGAGGACTGTGCGTGTGGGGGAAGCGGACGTCACTTACTGGTGTGATTGCTCTTTGGACGGTGTGTGTGCTCCAGGATGATAGACACGGAAGATTGTTCCCGCTTTATTACACACAAGCTGTGGGAGGAAAGAGGCTGTGCTAGGGCTGGAGATGGGATGAGAACGTGTGTGTGCATATGTGTAGCTCTGAATATGTTATGGTTTTTGACAGCGTCATCAAGAAGGCTCTTCTCTCTAGCCCAAGGGGACTGGCCATGGCACGCTGGTGATTCCTAAGTGAGCTGGCTTCCTAAAAACATGCCTGGTGCATTGGGGACTGGGGAGGACTGGGGAGGACTGGGGAGCGTCACTGCTACAGTAGTGTGGGTTGGGGGCCTGGGTGCTAGCTTGGCCCTCTGGTGCCCCATCTCAGCAGAGTTCATTAGTGAGGGAGAGTGGCAGAGGGACATTACACACACGGACCCTGTGACTCATCCTAACTCCTGTCAGCTACGCTCAGTGGGTGAGACCTGCGCTGGAGTAACTGTGGGTCATGCTGACTGCGTCACACTGACACGCACATGGATACGCGGAGGCATATACACACTCACACAGCTCTGGTTGGCTGTCTCCCACGACCTTGCCTCTCAGAGCCCACTTCAAAGCACTGTGCTGGATTGAAAACAGGCCGGGCTGTGTTGATCTGGTGTGGCTGCTTCCCTTCACAAAGTTGACTTATCATGTTCAAGGCTGTCGAGGGATTGGGGATTCTGTATGGGCTTTTCCCCATTCAGCTCGGCAGGGTAATCCGATCTGATTAGATTTAGAAATATGTTACTGAGAGGGCTTGGATTATGGTAGCAGAGCAGATTACAGTATGGCTTAAAGCGAACAGCATAACGGAGCTATATGAGAGGATATAGTTTTTCTGCTCAACAAGTAGAGATAAAGTAGGCCTACTATATAAAATGGATGTTGAGTACACTAATACAACCATACCACTAATTAAATTATACTTACACATTTACCCTTCATCTTTATTTGACGTCCCAACCAATGCAATATCAATTTGAGTCCTCTAACTTTAGGCAGCATGTAATAAATGTGTTTTCCTTACTCCGTCTGAAAATCGTTCTAATTTCACCTTCATTTTGACATTTATAAATTAATTAGCATATCAGTTATACCTCACGGCTTTTAATGCGTCTGACTCTTTGATTCAGCCACCCATTCATTTGAATTCGCTCTCTCTCTGCATGTATGCAAATGATTCCAACAATCTACATGGGAACTGAAGCAGTGCAGTCCTTATCACATGGACGCTGGGTGAATTGATATTCAGTGTACAGAAGGTGTTTTCCAAACGGACTTACCTTAATCGTTTTGGTTTGAAGTCTGAGTCCGTTTAATGTGTTGATGGCTTTCTCTGCATCCTTTGGGTCGATGTAGTTGACAAACCCATAGCCTAGACTCTGCCCTGTAAAACAAGAAAGAAGAGCATTTTTACAATACAGAATTCTACCCAGTACATATTAAATTGGTACAGATACAAGTCAAAATAATGTCTTGACAACTGGCTTTTAGATGTGATTTTTATTTTAAAAAACATCTGATAGCGTCATTAATACCAGATTTACTTTGACTCAATATTTTCCTGACATCTGTAGATATTTATTTCAGGCATTGCCTGCTTTCATGAGCTAGTTGACTTTCAACAGAAGCCCAGAGCCACTGTGGCTGTGTGATAGTTACAAAAAAATCTCGCCACACAAGTGCCTGGCAAGTCCAAGTGGAGCAACGCACTTGTAGCCATTAATGGAAACAGACAACAGTAAGTCCACAGTGGAAAAGACAAAGTGAATCACAAATGTAGAACAGCGCTGCTCTAGCACCAAATAAATAGCATCCAAGGCAGGCAGGCTGCAGCTTTGGGCCAAAGGGGAGCTGTACTCCTCGCATGAAACACCTTGTGTCCTGGAGAGAATCTCATTGGTTCACAGCAATTCTTACCGCTCATCTCGCTGACACTAATCTGACAGCACCCTTCGGAAAGTTAGGACACTAAAATAGAACTACGCCGTTAACGCCAATATATCCGTTGGCCTGTGGATATGTGTTCAATATCAAAGTGCCTTTTACAAAGACTTCTCTTCTCATACTCCTCAATGTGGGTTGACAATAATTAGCCAACACAGCCAACTGCTGAGCGGCTCCCCACTCCCTGTCACCTTCTTCCTCCCATTTCCGCTGCTTCACAAGTAGAATTTAAGACTAAACAAGCGTAGCTTACAAAAGGTTAGCAGAAATTAAGTGTGCTTCCGAAGCGCACTCATGCAGAGCTGCCTGGATGTGCTGGGTTGTGGTTAATGATACAGTCCCACAGCACTCATGCAGGCAGACAGGCGCTGTGTGTGGAGAGAGTCTCCCATCATAGCCCCTCCATGCTCACCCTGGCCATCAGGGCCCACACTGTCATGTCTGCTCTGCCAAGCACCTTCATACAGTACAGGTGTGTGTGTGTGCACAATATTTGTAGGCAGATGTACTGTATGTACACACTCCCTCCGTTTCTGGTGCAGTCCACAGTCCAGTGTGTCTTTGGGAGTTCGCACCAGTCACTGTGCCCAATCCCACCTTGGCAAGGCTGGAGGGGAGATCGGGGTGTGCCTGCACCCCCACCCCTACCTGCCTGGCACCACTCCCCAGGTGAGTGGAGAGATGGGGCGAGGCAGCTGCTTTCAGCACGAGGCAGCTCCAAGAGGGGATTCCACCCACCAGTAAGAGCCCACAGCAGGGGGCCATGGACTGGCTGCCTTCCGGAGACAATGCCAACGCACAGACAAACACACTCATGCTGTATGCATGCATGCAAGTTAGGAAAATGTTGAAATTATCGGAGCAAACTATGAGCAGCGGAGGAGAATACACTGCTCAAAGTTACGCAATGAAGAGAATGTACACACACGCATCACACACACCCTGACAAGGTCAGAAAGCGGTGGTGCACTGACTGTGGGCCAACATATGCAGGCAAACTCATCTAGGCCTGTTACAACAACGGCTCGCTCCGCACGCACGCAGCCCAGCAGGTTCAGCCCAGCATGCTGCCTGCCTGAAATAAACACGCAGGCCTAGCACAGCACAGCACGGTTCAGAACAGCACAGATCAGCCAAGCACGGCGCAGCATAGCACACAGCATGCCTTAACACAGTTCTACACAGCTCAGCAAAGCTACTACTGTAAGATCACTAAATAGCAGTACATAACAGGATAGCACAGGTGTTTTAGCACAAGCCTTAAATGTTATATTTTTATATAAAGGCGTATTTTCTGGTTGTTTACTGTGTATAGGAATCTAGATCAATGTGTTACTAGAAAGGCTGAGTGCCATTTTTAAGGATTGTACAAACGCCATTAAGGATATTATAGACAAACATCTGAAAGAAATGCATCTCAGGAAGCTGAAAGAACCCATTAAGATAGCATAATAAATACCCTTTAATGGAGGAGCAAACCGAAAACTATCCCTATGCCGTTTAATTAGTCTAATGGATACATTCATGTATATATATTTTAATTAACAATTAAATTCGCAAACCGAAATGATGCATTGCTGTTATAATGAGTTTTTAATGATGATAGATCTTCATTTCCTTGACTTTCCGTTCCTAACCACGGCATGTCCATCCCATCCCCAAATCTGGAGGCGTTTGAACAACATGTACAAAGACAATGCTTAACATCCATTAAAGGGATATTTTTCATAAATAAACAGCTTAGTAATGTCAGTGGTGGGATCGTGCCCAGCTCCCTCATTAGGATGAGTTGAGCTGAAAGCACAGGGCTAATAGTTGTGTGTGACATAGTGGATCCCCCCCTCTTCGTGATCCAGAGTGGTGCGTTGATTCGTAGCAGGTGAGCGTGGGGGTAATTGAGCTCATTAGTTGTGACATTACCACAGTAGTGCCATAATGCTTCATAACAGCTGTCCCATTATAGCTCAAGCCACTACTAATGAGAGAGAGGGCCGGGGTAATTGACACCACCTCACCAGGTCTTCACCGCTCCCTGTACAGTCGAAAATAAATACGAGAGGGAAATAGGTACAAGTGTACCAAATGTTTTTCCTTGGCAAATCACTGCTATTTCCAGTGAGTGGCTCCTCTTGGTGGTGCTACAGTATGACTAAGCCATTATTTGTTTCATGAAGAGCAGCAGGCTGCCGAATGTGTGAGATGAGAAAATGGGTGTGTTTCTAGCAGGTGTCCTGCCTCTCCCAATGTGGTGACTTATAGTGCCACACACACACACACACACACACACACACACACACACACTCACACACACACACACACACAGAGTTGCCTGCTGGGGCCTCCTATGTCACTGCTTTCATGCACTTATGGTCTTCTTTCCTTTTGTATGACCTTACCTTCTAGATATTAACAGTACCTTCCATTCTATTTATTGATACGCATGACTGTCCACAATATAGGATCTAACCTAGCAGCAAACAATATCCTTCTGTGATTGTGCCCTTAATAAAAATAAACATGAATTGCCTGTCCTTAATATTTCACAATGGTTAAGACAACATTGTGATGCGCTGTATTAATATGACAGACATTATTATATCCTAAGCTGACCTCTTCTCTCTAAACCCCCATGGTCTGTCTCTGAGTCCCCACTCCCTCCCTGTCAGTGAACATGGCTTCAGTCTGTCATATAAGATGCCAAGGGATGAGAGGGAAAAGTGCACTGTGCACAGGATGACAGTGCTATGAACAGCTGACGATAACATACCTTGATAGCACCAGGTTCCTAAGGTAGAAACAGGTAAATTGGTTTGGTCAGTCTTAAACTTAGCCACATTTAAGATATGGAGGAAGAAAGAAAACATTTCCGTTTGTCAAAACAGATGTGAATCATCGTGTTGGTTCCTTAACAATTTGCCCTTGCTGCAACAGCAACTTGGGATGGTGCTATTTTAGACCAGCACCCTTCAAAATATTTGCGGGAGAAGTCACCAACTAAAATCCAGATGATGAAATATACACTTATACAAACTTATAGAAGTTCCCAGTTCAGTATTATGTTTTTAGATGGGAGGAGAGAGTACAACAACTTTTGTTTGCTAATCTCCTAAAGAAAGTTAAATTACCTAATGTACAGAATTATAATATGATTGAATATACATTCATAATTCATACTTTGAATCTACATAAACCACTTACTGAGTGCTTTTAATAGGAAAAGCTGACAGAGGCTAAGTTCATTCTGACTGGCCGTAAATAGCTAAAGTAATTTAATTACAGCAAACGTGGACTCAGAGCTATTAAGCACATTTTGTATGCCACTATTTACCATTGCCTTTTTGGATATGTTTCACTGTTTTTCTCTATTAGCTTACAGCAACAGTATAACACTGTACAATTGACAAATATTAGGTCATAATATATTCAAACCTTTGACTATAATGGCATTCAAATGCTAATACAGCCTTACTGTAGCTTTATGTGCTTACATTAGTGTGACTAAAATGCTGACCAAATAAACAGTAGCACACATACACTGGCTCCGCTCAGATGTCTGTTCTCTGGGGTTGCCAAGGTAGCAGCAACTGTAATATGCAGGAGTCTCCCACCCACCCCGAGTGGCTGCTGCCTGAGGTGAGTTGGATGGAAGCCTGAAATGTGTGGGATGTCTGGGATGATAGCAGCATAGCAGGAGAGAATCTGGGACACCCCAGCTCCGTGACGTCAGGCCTGGATATGACAACAGTGACAGCAGCAGCCGGAGCCGGGGGAGTCCTGCAGAGAGGGAGGGGACCAGTGATGAGCCAGCCCGGCCCTCAGGCCCTCCAGATCTGAGGCCCACAGGGGACTGGCTTACTGGCCCACTCTCTCTCCCAGGTATAGGCCACTCAAACAACACAGAGTGTGGGGGGAGAACGGAGGAGAGAGCAAGGATGTTTTTAGGCCTGGAACGCTAAAACCTATGTGTCTCCTGCTGGCGTCTGTACTTATGGGCCTGGCTAGTCTGTAATACCTGGCTTAAGGGAAGATGCCAGGTGATCCTTCTAGCTCTGACTCTACTGATAGCTAAGTTATTGAGGAAAAATGTGCTTTCTATGCCTGTGATATGTGGTTGTCCAACCTAGCTATTTTAAGATGAATGCACTAACTGTAAGTCGCTCTGGATAAGAGTGTCTGCTAAATTACTAAAATGTAAAATGTAAAGCGCCTTTCAAAAAACCCAAGGACACGGTACAGCAAAGAAAATAAAGAAATAATATGACAATAACATAATAAAAAGCTACTTAGCTTAGCTAGGGCTGAGTAACGGGGAAGCTAAGTTGAGGGGAAAGCCAGACTGAACAGGTGGGGTTTGAGATTGTTTTTGAAGGTGCAATAGAGTCAGAGCTGCGGGATGCTGGGATGCTAGGGGGAGAGAGTTCCAGAGTTTGGGGGATGCTAGGGGGAGAGAGTTCCAGAGTTTGGGGGATGCTAGGGGGAGAGAGTTCCAGTGTTTGGGGGATGCTAGGGGGAGAGAGTTCCAGTGTTTGGGGGATGCTAGGGGGAGAGAGTTCCAGAGTTTGGGGGATGCTACGGGGAGAGAGTTCCAGAGTTTGGGGGATGCTAGGGGGAGAGAGTTCCAGAGTTTGGGGTCAGCGCAGCTGAATGCCCGGTCCCCCATGGTGCACAGTTTTGTTTTGGGGATGGTGAGTAGTCCAGAACCAGAGGAGCAGAGACAGCAGGAGGGTGTGTGTGTGTGTGGAGGAGGTCAGAAAGGTATGAGGGGGCTAGGCCATGTAGGGCCTTGTAGGTGAGCAGTAGGATCTTGTAGGTGATGCGGAATTTGACAGGAAGACAGTGAAGGTGATGTGTTCTCAGGGTTTGCTGCATGTGAGGAGCCTGGCAACGGAGGTCTGGACATACTGGAGCCTATCCAGGCCTTTCCTGGACACCCCGAATAAGACTCCATTGCAGTAGACCAGACGTGATGTAGCAAAGTCATGTATGAGGGTCTCCGCTATCGGGTCCATGAAGGATGGTCGAAGTCGGGAGATGTTACGGAGGTGGAAGAAGGCGGATTTGGTGATGGATTTGATGTGGGGCTGGAAGGAGAGAGTGGGGTCCAGGATGACACCCAGGTTTCTGACCTCGGATGTTGGACAGATGGAGCAGTGGTGTACCACACACCCCCACAGCCCCTGCAAGGGGGGGCCCCACACCCCAAAAAAATTACAAATAAAATGTTTTCCTGGAGGTCGCCCCCCCCCCCCCTCCCCAAATGACATATGAACACATAATAAGCCATGGTAAAAACATTTTAGAATTACAGGAAATTAGCTGTAAAACTGCAAAATGTTCTGTCTGCCCTATAGCAAAATGTGTAGAATTGCTGGAAATGTGTTTTTAAAATGCTAGATTCTCTCAGCCTCATTGCAAAATGTGTAGTATAGCATGAGATTAGCTACGAAACTGCAACATTTTCTCTCTGCCCCATAGCAATATGTGTAGAATTGCAGGAAATTAGCTTTAAAACAGCAACCTTGTGGCACACATTTGTTGACAGCAGCTGGGGGGGAATTGGAGTTCCAAGGGACACACTGCTTTCTGTCAGCCAGGTAGGCCCGGAACCAGCTGAGCGGATACTGATTCAGATACGTGTTCATCTCATCCAATGCCAGCTATATTCCCGCTTTCTTTTACCTTCTATAGAGCTGTGACGGTCATGGAATTTTGGATGACGCTAATTGGCCAGCCAATTGACCGCGGTCTACATAATAACCATTTGAATAGCAACAACAACAAAAAATGTCCCTCACCCCTGACTGCATGTGCTGCTA